CTTCGCCGAACTTCAACTGTCCTCTCCTATTTTCAAGGTAAGAAAAAACTTCTGACTGATTCTGTACGTTGAGTAATTCAAAATTTAGTTGTTTGTACGTTATGAATTTCATACGTTGCAATCAGCTTGTGCCCCTGATGCATCGATGTTGTACGATGCTGGAAGGTCCCCTTCTTGGAAAGGCCATGCACACTCCATTGGCCAGGCCAGAAAGACGTTATTCTTCAGATGCATTTTGAAATTTCTCTTTCTAGATGATGGTGTCTGGAAGAATTAAATTATTTTTTCGAGAATCATAAAGTGTAGGTGTATGTCTACTTGTTCGTTGCTCAGAACTCAACCGGGATGTCCAGTCTTCTGAATCTTGAAGTGCCAACTATTGCTCCTATCAAGGTGTCTACAGGTAAGGTGTCTGCTGTCTTGGCCTTCAAGTAGTGTCATATCTGTGATTGGTTTCAACTCTTGTCGCATGTGTACAGTAGTGAGTGAAAACGCTGCGGGTCCCATATTGGTTCAATAATTATTGTACGTTTCTAAGACGTCCTGACCTTGTGTAATATCGGTAGATTGTTTCTGATCCCTGTTCTTTGAATTGCACCTGGACGTCATGGACGAAACGTACCTAATCTTCTCCATTGCATCACTCCCATTTGGAGGGTTAGATGTTATGTGCCGGTACTGTGATCTCACTTGTCCCTGGTCAATTGTGACGTGATTTGTGTTATCTTTCTCTTCCATGTTCTACAGCATGTGGACCTGATGAACCCTACACCTCGGACACTGATCGTTTGGAAGAGGAATGCAAGAAGTTGAGGGCGGAAGTTGAACGGCTAAAGCGGCGTTGCGGGGAACTAGAGACTGGGCTTTCGAAGGCACAGTTTGGTGTGCACTGGATTGACGAGTCTGATGAGAAGTGTCGCTTCCTCACTGGTCTGCCGAACCGCTCCGTGTTCCATGCTGTCTTAGGTCATGTGCAGGAGAAGGCCGCAAAGCTCACTGCCTGGCGCGGTGATTCCACCAGTGACCCCAAGGACAACAAGCCTGGCCCTCGGATGACCAAGGACTTGTCCATTGCCAACCAGTTCTTTGCGACGCTTGTCCGGTTGCGCCATGGTATGTGTGGCGGGTTTGTGGCAGCCCTGATGCAAATGCCTGACTCCACGTTCAGCAGGATGTACTCCACGTGGATTCTGTTTCTGCCCCGTGAGCTGTCTCTCCTCTTCCCGTTCCCGTCCAGACAACTTGTGGACAAGTTCATGCCACCGTGCTTTAAGTCCAAGTTCCCGCAGACGAGGATTATCATTGACTGTTTGGAGATCCAGATGGAGCGCCCAACTTCTCTCCTGAACCAGTCGATCACGTACTCCAGCTACAAGAGCCGGAACACCATGAAGGTTCTTGTAGGTGTTTCACCTGCTGGTCTTGTGACTTTTGTGTGGGATGTTTGGGGTGGCCGAGTCAGTGACAAGGTCATCACAGAGCAGAGCGGTCTGTTGCAGCTTCTGGAGAAGGGTGACAGTGTCATGGCTGACAAGGGCTTTGACATCGACGTGCCTCTTGCTCTCCATGGAGTGAAACTGAACATCCCGCCAAAGCTCGGTGCTGATAGCCAGATGAGCGCCCAGAAGATCGAGAAGACCCGCCGCATTGCAGAGCTGCGTATCCATGTCGAACGGGCTATCGGACGTGCTCGTTGCTACCGTGTCCTCAACACTGTGTTCCCTGTGAGCATGTCGAGTCTGTCGTCTCACATCGTGAAAGTGTGCTTCTTCCTCACAAACTTCGACGCCCCGCTAGTAAATTGAAGAGACATGTGAATCACTTAATTCAAGTTCTATCTTCTTTTAAAAAGGCGACGTGGAGACAATAATCTTAATAATGCAATGAATATAACTAAATGCGCACTCATATCACAACCATGGGGACGAATCATGTATTCCAGAACGTTTTCTTGTCACAATTATCAATGGAATTCGTGACTAAAGAGAATGATGAAACTACAATAGGATTTATACACTTGGAGTGGAACAGCGAGGATACAAGCATAGTAAGAAAAATAGCACAAACCTAGGAACAAGTTGTACAGGTAATAAACTATAGGTGAGGTGAGAAATGATAGGAAATTCAGCAAGTGCAGTGTGACAATGGACATGCATGTGCAAGTGTGTGTGAGTGCGAATTTACTGGAATAGCGTAAGTGCGGTGACATTTTCTTTTTGTTTACAAAGATTTGGATCACGAATGCGAATGTAGACTGCTTCTAGAACTTTCAACTGCTTGAAACTACTTGCAGAACGAACAACACTGAACCAAGAATCATCATAACTTTCACGACACATGGGGTTAGACAACAAATGCAATTTAATTGCCGATGTATTCTTCTTCTTCTCACCGCCTCTGCCTTCACTTGGTTTCTGACCGCCACCGTCCTTCACACCATCTGCACCATCATCGTCATCATCGTCATCGTCCTCTTCATCATCGCTGCCACCTTCACCTGTCGTCAGCTCTCCCAGCAACTGACCACCGGGTTCATCATCGTCACTGCACACGTCGCTTCCACACTCCTCCTCCAGCTGCCGTCGCGTTCTCTTCCTGACCGGTCTTCCCTTGCCATTGCCAAACACCTGACAGTCGTCAACTCTTCCGCTGGCAGCATCCATATCCGGAGAGTTTCGTTGCATCTTTCCAGTCACCTCTGCAAACCGAGCTGCCGCTAGCCGTTTGCTCCTTCTCAGCTTTGGTGAGTTGCGGTTGTCTGCGTCCGGCGTACCGGTACTCGCTGATAATGAAGATAAGACACAGTGTTCGTCTTTGTTTACATTAATGTTTGTTCCCGATTTCTGCGTGCTGTGTTGGTTTTTCCGAGACACCGTTTGTGGAGCAGAAGCCTCTGCCGGAACGGACAGTGGAGTCGGGTGCTTACGTGGTCGGCCACGCTTTGGTCGGGAGGACCTAGCCGCCTGTGACAATAGTGAGAGCGGCACGTGTTGTTTGATACGTTCGGACAGATGTTGAAGGGTCCTACCAACATACCGACTACCACATTGTCGGCATTCAAAGTAGTAAATGAGGTGACTCAATTGTAGGGTTGGTAGGACATCCTTCAACATCGTGAACGAACGGATCGTAGTGAACACTGTAACCACATTGGTGGCAAAGTAGGTTTTCTCCACTAGGGATTTCACCACACGGGCCGTGTCCTTCGATTCTTTCCCTTTCCAGGGCTATTGTCACAGGCGGCTAGGTCCATCAGAACTCGCACCAATGAAGTGGTAGTCACGATGGAGGCTAAGACCACACTCTCTCACGGTGATGTTCTTTCCATCTTCGAGTGCCACACTGAGGTACATGTCCCTCGCCCTGGGCTCATTCTCCACTCCCCATCGCATGGCAGGTGGCAAAGCGGAAATGGTGGTGTATCCCATGATACCGGCCAGCAGCGAGACTGGCTCCTGGGCTCGAGAGCGAACGATGTCACCAAATCGTGAGCTAGTTAGGCGCCCATGGCGTAGGTCGAACCACCACGAGTTGTCTGTCTGGCCTTTGGTGAAGTCTTCCACTTCCTTTTGGGATACACCGTACTTGGACAGTGGTCCGGTATATCGACCAAGGGCATCTTCACTCGTTCCACCTGGAAGCCTGTCAGAATGGAACAGGACCAATGGCGAAAGGGCCTTGGGTTGGCTAACTGAAGTAGCAGCAAGTCCTGATGACTGGTCTTCGACTTCCCAGAAATGGAAGAACCCACAGTTCTTGGCTGATGCCTTTCCCGCTGCTAATGCCTCCTGCAAGGTGAGTGCGTCAGCAGATGTGACTTGGCGGTGTGACGGTGCACGGGGATCAAACTCCGCTCGCAGCTGCTTCCTCTCCACTTCATCATCAGTCATGCCATGGCAAGCTTTCACAAACTCCATATTGGCGAGTGGCTGAGGATCGACATGCTTCTTTGGAGGCTGATTCCAGCGCATAGGTTGTGACGTTTTAGACAACTCCACGGGTAGCTCCACCAGATTCCTTTTTGCAGCGGATTCAATGAAGAAGAGTAGGGCAGCAACATGATTGCACGCCTCTCCCAGCCTAACATAAACAACAACCGCACACGCACACCATGCACGGGAGACAACAAATATAATTATGCCACCGTCAGATAGAGCTGTCAGAACTCATCACATCACAAACTTGTTGAACAAAGAAGTTATTATAACAATCATCTGCAAAATACATGTCACTACAAAGGAACTATCACAGCACAGGTAAGGAGGAAGAGTTATAATAGGATTTATCAGTGCCGCAGGTCAACTGTCACATTTGGACTGAAGAAAACACACCAACTCGTAGTGCGTTTCTGTGAAAACACTTACCCGGCAATACAGCTGCATTGCGCAGCGTAGACTTCACCAGTCTCAGTGTTCAACGACACATACACGGTGAGCGGTGTATCACACGACAAGGAATGGTGGACGTAAGCACGGAGATAGGAGATTGCCACACCGTTCTCCCCAGATGCAGGATATTGCTTGCTCCACACATTCTTCACAAAGCCATCGGCAAAAAATTGGGACGCCTTCAAAGACCTGTTGCCAACAAAATTTCCAAAGACACATTTGGAGAAAAGAGACAATATTAGGGATGTGCAATTCAGGGGTTCCCTAGCTGAATTCCTTCACTGATTAAACATTGATGGCAACTGATTCGAAAATGCTAGTTGACCTCAGTTACAGTCGGTCTTTCAACAAAACTTGACACACACTGACTTTGTCTTGAGAGATTACGAATTCAAACTGCCTACTATCACAACGTACCCACACCGCCTATGCTCATTACTCACCTAAATGCCTTCATGCTCTCCATATCAAACGTCTTGTCTCGTCCATAGACCAAGTACGTCAATAAATCCATGAAGTGGAACCGCTTCACAGCAGCACGAAACTCCTTGCACCAGTCTTGCACCTCGTTGAAACGAGGCGACGAAGACAAAGTGCCCCGAACGTCTTGAGTTATATACTGCAGTCCAACGGAAGCACCAGAGGACGACGCATCAGCAGCACCAGCCAAACCAATCTTGAACATCGACACCAAGCGCTCCACGATGTCAGCCTTCTTTGTTGCTCCAGTCAACCGAACATCCAGAAATTTGGCAATTTCCTTCAGTTCGGCCACCTTCACCGTCGCAAGAGAAGTCTGAACCCCAACAAAATCGGCATCGCTGGCTTCGGACCCTTTTGAAAGTTGTTCAGCAAGGACAGCCAGTGGCTGAGGCAAGGGTGGTGGCTGCTCAGCGGCAGCAGAGTCAGGGATGACAGCAGACATTGTTGCTTCCTGGTTGAAAAATTACTTTCACTGCAGTTTGGGCTGAACTTCTTGTCCACCAAACATTTTTGCGCGTCACCCGTTGCCATGCAACGCGCACTGTGTTCTATCCGGAAAGGGGTCTATAGCCTACTGTTCTTACATAGCCTACTGTTCTTACTTATAGCCTACTGTTCTTACTTATAGCCTACTGTTCTTACTTATAGCCTACTGTTCTTACTTACAGCCTACTGTTCTTACATAGCCTACTGTTCTTACTTATAGCCTACTGTTCTTACTTATTGCCTACTGCTCTTATTTATAGCCTACTGTTCTTACTTATAGCCTACTGTTCTTACTTATAGCCTACTGTTCTTACTTATACCAAGAGTACATAACCCCCCAGAGTGTGCAACGCCTGATCCAGCTCTGCATAGGGTCTTGGTCGAGCGGAATCGGATCTTTGCGTCATAATACCGTACACATCTGAGGGGAACCCGGGGAGTCGCGGGTGCTCTTGGATCAAAAACAATGGTACCCTGCCTCGAGACCGGCCTTGCGCTGGTGTGGAGTGTACGCATGACATCAGAAGATCCGATTCCGCTCGACCAAGACTCTATGCAGAGCTGGATCGGCGTTGCACACTCTGGGGGGTTATGTACTCTTGCTTATAGCCTACTGCTCTTACTTATAGCTTACTGTTCTTACTTATAGCCTACTGTTCTTACTTATAGCCTACTGTTCTTACTTATAGCCTACTGTTCTTACTTATAGCCTACTGTTCTTACTTATAGCCTACTGTTCTTACTTATAGCCTACTGTTCTTACTTATAGCCTACTGTTCTTACTTATAGCCTACTGTTCTTACTTTTAGCCTACTGTTCTTACTTATAGCCTACTGTTCTTACTTACAGCCTACTGGTCTTACTTACAGCCTACTGTTCTTACTTATAGCCTACTGTTCTTACTTTTAGCCTACTGTTCTTAGGGTGCGTTCTTAAATTCTCTAGCTTCTAGAAGAAGAAAAGAGAAGTTGAAGAGACTGGGATTCTTCAAGAACGGGTCTCGAAGAATTTGGAGATATTTTGCAGATGTCAAGCAAAATGAAGCGCCAAATGAGTGCCACGAATATAGTATGCGCTGTGCGTATGCGAAAAGGGAAATGCGTACACTCATGATCAACACGTGGCTTTTAGCCTGGTTCGCATGCGCTGATCCCAAACCGCGGGAATCTCCAAGTTTCAACCACCTCTGAAGCTTGGAGAGCTTGGAGAGCTTTGGAGAGCCTCCTAAAATTCGGAGAGGATATAAGAACAGCTCTCGAACTTTTCGGAGAGTCTCCAACTTTTCCGAGAGGATTTAAGAACGCACCCTTAGTTATAGTCTACAGTAGTAGAGTTCATTGACTACAGTAGAGAGTTGATTGCTTTGGTCAAAAAAAGAAGAAGAAAAAGAATCACTGACCATGACCGAGAGTTGCAAAGCCCGTTGCAAAGACAACGAATGAGTGATAGAGAGCCAGTGAGATCCACGCCCAGAACACCTGAAAATACAACACCAGAAGAAAAAAAGAAATAGAACAAATATCTTAAACAAGTAAAAACACACACGCACATAGGCACATCCAAACACAATGTAAAGGCACAGGCATGCATACTTGTACTGTCACACACACTCTGATGTTAAGCTCACCCGGTTTTTGAAGTGTGCACCATTCTGAGTGAGCCGATACAGGCCGGGTCTAGCCATACGATTCTTTGCTGACACGGTTTGATCAAGTATACCAATAGCCAGCGGTGGGAACAGCGTGAAAACCTGCAAGAGAGAGAGAGAGAGAGAGAGAGAGAGAGAGAGAGAGAGAGAGAGAGAGAGAGAGAGAGAGAGAGAGAGAGAGAGAGAGAGAGAGAGAGAGAGAGAGAGAGAGAGAGAGAGAGAGAGAGAGAGAGAGAGAGAGAGAGAGAGAGAGAGAGAGAGAGAGAGAGAGAGAGAGAGAGAGAGAGAGAGAGAGAGAGAGAGAGAGAGAGAGAGAGAGAGAGAGAGAGAGAGAGAGAGAGAGAGAGAGAGAGAGAGAGAGAGAGAGAGAGAGAGAGAGAGAGAGAGAGAGAGAGAGAGAGAGAGAGAGAGAGAGAGAGAGAGAGAGAGAGTAAGTTACATTTATAAAGACAGGTAAGTCTAACAAATGAGGACTGAGACCTCTACAACAGGGTTTTTACGCCTGAAAGCAGGTGCATGATTTAACAAGCAGGTTGTCAGTCTAGATTTTATGCGCAGATGGAGAAAAAATGCGCAGAATTTTTGTAATGAGATGAAAAGCAGAAATAATAAGAAATAATAAGAAAAGATGAAATGAAAGCCTGCTCACAACCCCGCCCAGCCTTGCGAACTGGGTATGGTGGATTAAGAACCCGGTTCAACGCTCGAGCAAGCGCTCTCCACTCAAGGTGTTCACAGCAACTGATAGGAACTCATATGGGGAAATTATAGAAAAGAAATAATAAGATAAAGAGAATAAATTTCAACGCACCTCAATAAACGGAGCCCCACATACAGTACCTCAGAAAAGTGGATCTTCCGACCAGTGTTTTTGTTGACGCCGCAACCAGATGATGTAGCTGCTTCGCAGAGACGTCTTACTGCACAAATTACAAATAAATTTTATTCTTCGATTAGAAAATCCAAGCGCTTTCAGAGCCCTCCGAAGAGAGTCCGGGATGAAACCACGCACACCTACCTCAACCGAAAAAGAAACGACCTGCCACCCGTTTGCTCGGCATTGATCGGCCAGATCCGCATACCGCCTGTCCTTCCGCGAGTTACTGACACTGAATCTGTCCTCAGCACAAACTGTCAACTCCATCCAGAATACAATCCTACGACTCGTAGAGTACAGAACTATATCTGGTCTTAGGGTGGTAAGTGCAACACAGCTAGGGAAAGAAATCTTTGCACTAACTGAGTCGACAAGAAGTTTCCAGTCTGAGGCCGCTGACAGGAGATCAGTCGTAACCAACTTTCGTCTGGGCTGAACGCGAACTGGCTTCTCTCCCGCCTTGCAAAACGAGATGAAGTCAAGCTCATTTGAATTTTCGGTTTGTACGGTGTTTGCAGCAGTGCGGATTCGAATATCCTCACGCATGTTCCTGACGATGACCCCGAGTACGTTGTCGTGCCTCCAGGTGTAACGTCCCTGGTCCAGCGCTACGCGACAAGCGCCAAGCACGTGGCGCGTAGTACAGGCCCAGGTACGGCACAAACTACAGTACGGATCCACTACGGTGTTTCCCCAACGGCGTAGGTTCGTCGGAGAAGGTAGCACGTCGAGGGTTGATGCGAGAAGAAATTTCAAATCCTTACCAGTACCACCGTACAAAAGGGATTTCCACGAGAGGTCCTGCCACATCACCGATGTCCACTCCAACCACTTGCCTTGCACCTGAAGAGTCTTCAGCCTCAAAATCTGCTCCTGCGCGTTGATCTCCTCAAATGTTTGAAGGAGATCCTTCCTCGGGGGTTTGGAATGCTGCTTCGGAGCACGAGCACCCAACCCTGCACGATGACTTGAAGATGACGGTGGACGGAGAGTCCCTGAACCTACTGATGCCTCTGCACACTCCAGCTCTATTGTCGCCGCATATCGCTTTGTCAGCTTCGCATCCTTACTCCGACGCAGAGTGTACAGCGCCCTCATGCGCGCGTCCCCACTCGATCGAAGAATGTGCCATTTGATGGACTGGCACTTTTTCCACACCGTAGGAAGGTAGTGGAGGCGTAAGCCAAAGCGTTTGCGACTGCCAATAAAAAGAATGGCAGAGTTTGCGCATCGAGGTAGGCCGGACCATTTCTTCAGAAATGGTAAACACATAAAGTGCAGTTCACGTACAAAACCTTGTGTGAGTTCAAGAACCTGGAAAGACCAAGAAAGCTTGGGCACTACAAGATGGTGGTAAAGCCATAGCTTGTGGTGGTCTTGAAGCCAAGAGCCATCTACTTTTTGCATGAGAGATACAGTGAGTTGACGGATGTCTTCCCGCTGGGTCTGCTCAGAGCAATCAGCATGCAGCCTTCGCCCCAGGAACTTGAACTCTGCAGTGTCAATGAAAGCGATCTTCCTCCCTGACATTGTCAGGCAGGGATCGTAAGGTTTGTACCGGCCATCTACAAGCTTTGCTGCACTGCTTTTGCATTTGTGCGGCGCCGCCTGCATACATTGGGTCCACGAGAGAAAGTCCTCCGTGACCGCAATGAGTTTTTGACAACCTGCACTAGATTTGCTATAGAGGCCTAAGTCATCAGCAAAAGCTGTTTGGGACACTTGCAAAGGGGCAGATTTAAAATCATAGGAGAGGCAACTTAATTCAGGGGCTGCAAGTGAGTCCAGCAGAAGCTGGAAACAAATATTGAAAAGGACCGGGGACAAGGGGCACCCCTGGAAAACACCAATGTTGTAATTAAAGGTGGGTGTGTGTGGTTGTACGACGAAAGCGCAAAGACTGTCGTAGTAGGAAAAAATTAATTTCCTGAATTGCAAAGGAAGGCTGTAGTGGGTTAGAGCATACTGTATCAGATTGTGGCGCACTGAACCAAATGCATTCTTCAAATCTATCCACGCAATGCAAATTTGGCGTTTTGCCGTCTTTGCATCACGCATCGCCTCATAACAAAGTGATGTATGCTCTAAGCACCCAGCCTTTGCAGGCATAAATCCTTTCTGGTTGTCACCATCGAAGAACTTATTGCCTAGCATATGTTTCAAGAGGCGCTTTGCAACTAAGGTGAAAAAGATCTTCCCGGACGTGTTCGCTAGAGCAATCGGTCGGAATTTCGAAGGATCATCAGACACCTCCCCCTTGGCCAGGAGTGTGATACACGCTACCTGCCACTGCCTTGGAATGATCTTGCTCTCCCAAACCCGCCCAAAGATGGTGAAAAGAATGGATTGAAGGGAGGGACAAAGCTTCCAAACTATGTAAGGTATCTTGTCAGGACCCGGTGCAGAGGTGTTGCGACACTTCTTCAAAACATTCTGAAATTCAGTCCATGTAGGGGTCCCCTCATCGACTGGGTGGGTGCAATCCCGGGGCTTCCCTGCACTGGGGCAGGATTCGTACGAAGTGGCACGATCCTGGTCTGCATATGTGTGTTGGAAGTACTCAAAGCAGGTAGTGTCAGAGAAAGTGGGTTTGACATGGTTGGTTGGTTGAAACAATTTCTTTCCGAAGGCATATGGGTCCTTGAGAAAGGCATCCTGGTCCCTCTTGTTCCGGGATCGATCGTCGTACATCTTTTGTTGTTTCAAAAGACGCTTGATTTGTTTTCCAATTGAAAAATACTCATTTCTGAGCGCTGCAGGTACTTCGTCCGGGTTTTTGATCTTACGAAATTGGCGCTTTAAATCACGCCTGTGAGCCCGGAGTTTTTCCACTGCACGGTTTTTATTTGCATTCTTGTGTTTTGGTGGAGGTGGTGGTGGTTTCTGGTCGAAAAACCAGTGAATGAAGAGAGAGAGAGAGAGAGAGAGAGAGAGAGAGAGAGAGAGAGAGAGAGAGAGAGAGAGAGAGAGAGAGAGAGAGAGAGAGAGAGAGAGAGAGAGAGAGAGAGAGAGAGAGAGAGAGAGAGAGAGAGAGAGAGAGAGAGAGAGAGAGAGAGAGAGAGAGAGAGCACAGTTCTACAACAGTATGGTACACACAGTGAATGTTCCTATTCGCTGACAGGGCTGTACTATAACACATGCAACATGGGAGGATGGTTATCAACACTTACAACATTGTAGAGGCCAATAGTCCAGCGTTCAAACAAGATCTGACCAGAGAAGCCGTTGAGGATAGCAAACCAGAGCTGGAAAGCACATCACACACACCCAGATACACAGACACACACACACACACAGACAAGTTACTTGGAAGGTTCTAAGTAATAGAAATAACATAAGGAGGGGAAGGTGAGCGCAGCCAAGACAAGCACGAGCTGAACGTCTCAGCTGTGAAGGTTTCTTTTCTATAAATTAATCCTTGGCTCTCCATCCGAGTCCATATCAAGGGTCATGAAAAATTAGAAGAAAGGCATTCGAGCTAACAAGCTCGTTCCCAAATACTCTGCAAAGCACTGAACATCGTTCTCACATCAATTTTAACACTGAACATCGTTTTCAGCGTTTTGCAGAGTTATAGGAACGAGCTTGTCAGCTCAAATGCCTTCCTTCTAAATGAAACTGCAAGAAGCCTCACCCTTACTTCTGAAAATTGAATGGTCGTGTTAATGTCACATGAAACTATTCAACATGCCCATAGGCAGTAGTCCACAGATAATTCAACATGCCAATAGGCAGTAGTCCACAGATGATTCAACTCGCAAACGAACTCCCAGCAGCTTGTCACTACAGCTGTATAAAAGTCTCAACCAAGGCTGAATAAAGTTATCATGTGTTTCAAAACAAACCATTTCACTCGGGCACTTGAAAATTGATTTTCGCTGGCTTTTTCCACACATTCCACCCTGAAAGTTAGTGTCCCGGTTTTTAGTATAGGGAAAAGTTCAGTATAACATACCCCGAATACATGTACAGTCGTCCCTCTCTAATCCGGCACTTGTTTATCCGGAACCCTTGCCAACCGGCGCACTTTCTGACGAAACCGATTTTTTTCGTTCAATTCCTACATCTTAATCCGGCACTTGAATTCCGCCTCCGGCAGTGACTTTTTGAAACGAATCGCTCAAACTGCACGTAGTTTGATTTCATAATCCGGCAGTCGTAAAACATTCTTATTTTAGCAAGGAGTAGTGTCCTGCCAATTTTCAGGTGTGTGTGTGTGTGTGTGTGTGTGTGTGTGTGTGTGCGTGTGCGTGCAAGAGTTCATGTGAACATGTTCTCTGTTTTACTTTATCACTTTATCACTGTGTATATTCCTGGAGAAAAGTTGAGAATATAAAGCCGTGCACCAAATACTTGGGTCGACACGGAAAAACCCTGCGTTTTGACGTATGATACATGCATGCAATTGGGTAGGGCCGGGTCAGAGGGCAGGATTTCTTAATCCAGCACCCTCGTTAATCCAGCAGAAAACGCCGTAGCAAAAGGTGCCGGATTAGAGAGGGACGACTGTATCACATACCCTGGACATAGCATACCCTGGATATGACATACCCTGGATATGACATACCCTGGATATGACATACCCTGGATATGACATACCCTGGATATGACATACCCTGGATATGACATACCCTGGATATGACATACCCTGGATATGACATACCCTGGATATGACATACCCTGAATATAGCATACCCTGGATATCAAATACCCTGGATATCAAATACCCTGGATATCACATACCCTGGATATCACATACTTTACTCAGCAAGCAGCCAGCAGCAGCAGCCACACACAACAGTAGCAGCCAGAAGCGGCGGTAAGACTGCAGAAGCGGCGGTAAGACTGCAGAAGCGGCGGTAAGACTGCAGAAGCGGCGGTAAGACTGCTGAAGCGGCGGTAAGACTGCAGAAGCGGCGGTAAGACTGCAGAAGCGGCGGTAAGACTGCAGAAGCGGCGGTAAGACTGCAGAAGCGGCGGTAAGACTGCAGAAGCACATATACCGTATTATCTCTAATATTTGTTTGTTTGAAAGGGTTTGCTCCCCACACCGGAGCTCGCGCTATTCCGCCGACTTTACTTGACACTTGACTGACTCACGACTGCCATCCAGAGCACACGAGAAGTCCATCGAACCTTCGACTCGGCAAACCTGCAAGAAAGCACCACTCCCTGCTCAATACACAGTGTTTCGGGGAATTCACCCCTCATCAGTTGAGCTTGAGTAGGCTGAGGAAGATTGTGCCTGAAGAGCACCACTTATATAGTGCTCTCCAGGCACAAACATCACCAGGGATACAAACTTACAGAGACGCTCCGTTTCCAGCGCGACAAACACCTCGTGAGCACCAGATAGCAGCGTGAGTCAGTGTCGCTCCTGGATGGTGAGACAGACGTCGAGGACCCTCGGTCATTCGCAACGCTGTCACCTCCAAACCAACTAGTCGCAAGCCCGCGCTGGGCACACCGCAACCACTACTTCGATTTGTTTGTTTGTTTCTTTTATTTGAATTCGTTTAGAGCACAGGCAATTCTGCCTTCTCACCAGAGGAAAAACCTCCGGTTCCTGCTAAGAACGAATATAATATTATGACTCACTTATGAGAGAAGGAAATATTAAAAAGAATCATAACAAAGGGTTTGCTCCCCACACCGGAGCTCGCGCTATTCCGCCGACTTTAACCACTACTTCGTAAGAATCATAACAGTCATGCTAATTCCAAAGCACAAAGTTTGTATATAATTCAAATGGGTGTGTGTATGTGTAAGCATGCAGTGAAGAAAACACAGAGAAAACATGCAGTAATGTGTAGGGATGCCGAGCAAGGTGGTTACAAATTACAATTAATTCTGTTCAGAGCCAGTTTAAGGCAAACGCCGCACTGTGGAGGCGAATATCGCTGGGAAGGGCATTCCAAAGAGTGCTTCCCACAAATGTCAATGGCTGACGACCGGAAGGTCCAGGAAGGAAAGGCACTTGCAGTAGCCGCTGTTCCTGTCCTCGAGTAATTCGGCGATCATCCCGGGATGCTTGGCCTGTATTAGGCCATCATTTTTTATATCTATGTTTCGCGTCAGTTCAACTTCCAGAATCATATGCGAGAGGTGGAAAAAAATAAAAAGTGGCAAAATAATAAAAAGGCTCATCATCAGAGGTGTATGCACTGTACATAGCACAATAGCTCGTGCATGGTGTACATTCGAAAGAAAAATCGTACATCGAAGCACAACATCTGGGTGGGGCTTCGTTGGATTATTGTACTCAGACTTCAGCAGCGGTGCAAAGACCTCCGGAACGACGCATCCTCTCAGCTTGAGGCTGTCTGATGTTAGCTCATAGAATATTGCTCCAAGATGCCGAACAAACGATTTGCCAACGCTGGCCTCGAGGCCATTTCTGAATCCCAGTTTCGCTGTATGCAACCAGTCCACACTGATGACTCGCACGATCGTACGCTCACTGTGCATGTAAGATTTTTTATTTTTTTCCGAAAAAAATCAAAACGTATGCGTGCGGACGACGCGAAACATAGCTATAAAAAATGATGGCCTTAGCCATCAACTGAAAGTAGGTGCAGAAAAGAGGACTTGCAAGATCATGTAGGCAACGGAAAACAAAAAACAAAACCTTGTAGTTTAAAAAAAAATGTGAGTTAGGGATCGAATAGATAAGCGCACGAGGAGGGGGGGGGGGGCTGTGGATGCACGGCTGGAGAGTCGGAAAATTGCACGAATTCCGGATTTGCTGGATTTGATTAAACGCCTCTGCAGCTGCTGTGTCAGCGACGGGAAGAATGCATTGGATGCGTACGTTAGTCGTGCTTGCACAATGCCAATGTACCAAAGTCTGCGGGCTCTTATGGGCAGAGATCGCCCATGGCACCATAGCTGGCTGATGGCGACTGACACCTTCTGCACAACACTGGAGACATGTGGCTGCCAGGATAGCTGGTCATCAATGATTACGCCAAGGTATTTGGCAGTGGAGGTAACAGTTAAGGCTTGATCCTTACATTTCACGACTGGTATGTCGCCAGTGAGTCCCCGAGGTTGAATTACCATGACTTGGGTTTTGCCGGTATTCAGCAGAAGCCCAATTTCGGAGAGCCAGTCAGACAGACGTGTCACAGCCGTAGTCAACGTCTTGCAAACAGTGTCCAGATCTGAATCAGAATAATCTAGGATGATGTCGTCCGCGAACTCCTGATGAACAACAATGCAAGGTATGACGTCGGAAATGTCACTCGTGTAAAGGACAAAGAGAAGCGGCCCAAGAACACTGCCTTGGGGCACACCTCTTGAGCATGGGACTGCATCAGAGAGAGCCTCACACACCTTGACATGCTGAGTACGACCAGACAGATAGCTAGCCAACCATAACAATACTCTGCCATTGACTCCCAGGGTGAATAGTTTATCAATCAGACGTTGATGTTGGACACGGTCGAACGCTTTTGACATGTCAACCATCACAATACCTGTGTATTTTCGCTCTTGTTTGGCCAACAGCCTACGGTTGGCGGCTAGAACTAATGCATCTTCGGTAGAGTGCATTTTCCTGTAGGCAAACTGACTGCTAGGTAATATGCTATGTTGCGTGAGGTATGCTGTGAGTTCCTTCTTTACAAAGAACTCCAAAATCCGGGACAGAATAGGGAGCAATGACACTGGTCTATAGTTAGTAGGGGATGTTGCATCGCCACTCTTGAACAGTGGACTAATGTGTGATGTTTTAAAACACACTGGCACAGTACCTGATGTCAAGGGTGCATTGACTAGGGTGGTAAATGGAGGTGCCAGGACGTCTGAACACTGCTGCAGTACAATTCCAGGAATGTTGTCACTCCCAGATGCTTTGTGGGGACTCACAGTTTGCAAGCATTGTGCAACATCAGACACTCTTACCGGCTGAAATGTTGAGAAGCTAGATGCAGAGGCTGGACCATGTGGTATATGCAGCTCAGGTGGCCGCATATAGTCAGTTTCAAAAAGATTAGCAATCCTGGCGATCGCCCGGGGAGTTTGCCGTCTTACCGTATGAGCGCTCGAGGGCTGCCTGGAAAAACTCACTGTGAACTCGAAGAAATATTCCGCGCGAAAGCCTGAAAAATGACAACTCACTGACGTCGGTACTCGTACATGACTTTGTGTTCGTCTGGTTTACAACAAACGAGTTCTTCCTCGTATCGATATGGAGTCAGAGAGGACATGTCGAAAGTCTGGTAAATTTTGACGAGCGGGATGCGTCCCAATTCGTTTTGTGACCAAATAGATTCTTTGAGCTGCCGTGGATGCAATTTACTCTCACGATGTGACGAAAACGGCATTGACACAGACTCATTCCCAAGGCCTTGATGTGGCAAAGCTATCCGTGTGACTTCGACGACATTTTGAGAAAAGCAGACGCCTGTGAAAGCTGATAGAAGACGGCGTTGACTCCTAAATTCAAATAAATTGGCGATCTTGAAATACTAAAATAATTCTCAAACAGAAATCGATCGATCGATGTGCCGGTGTATTCAACAACACGTAGATACAGCGCAGTGACTTCCGTGTTCACTCACACGGTTTCAGTGTTGTGTGTGTCCACAACTTCACATGGCGTGAGCCAGTCAAGTACATATACAAGTGTCAGTCAGTTCGGCAGGAAACACGAGCTCCAACAACAAGTCGTTTGGCGCAGCCACCTTCTTTGTCTTGACTCTTGTACAAAAATTGTACCAGCTTGATCACCAAAACAATGAAAAAATGAAGAGAAAATGTTTGACTTGAAGATTTGCTGGGATTTGAACTCACAACTTCTTGGTCAGCAGACAGCATTCATAACCACAAGGCCAAAAAGGAAGGGATAAATCGTGGGTTTTGATAACAAATCGATACTGGCTTCCAGGGCAAATTATAAACCATGGGAAAAGGCAAGAAACCTGGCCGAAATTCTAACTCCTTAACGGTTGGTCCTATTGTTCTGAAACCTTCACAGAACAATTTGCCATGCCCTAAGAAGCCATTTTATGTACTTTGTTGTCCAATTTTCCCTTATCTTCATACTTTTTAAGACCCAAACTTGATTGCTAATCTTTTTGAAACAGACTGTAGGGTCATGCACAATGTCTCCAAACAATTTACTGAGTGACTCAAGCGGCGCTTCAGGTTCTTTCCGTGTCTTCTGTCGGCCTGTGACATCGTTCATGACAGCCCAAAGTTGCCGCTGATCTGATGTATCACATCTCTTAGTGAAGTACAAGTTGCGCAGACTCCTGTCCAACTACTGGATCTATTCTTGTCTACCACCCCGATCCAGGGTGTTTGCGAGACTATACATTCGGATATCAGTGACCACTCTGCAATACTTGCCAGGCTGCCAATTTCAGCAAGTCACCACTTGAAGGGACAGCATCTGCGCAAGACTCGCTGTTTGCACAAAGTGGATTGGAATATGTTTACATGTGACCTGGAGAAGACGCTAACTACCTGTGACTCTGTCTGTGTGGATGTGCTTGCGTCGTCACTCACTGCGGGAATCCAGACCACTCTAGACAAACATGCTCCACTTCGGGAACGGCGCCGCAAATCTCGACGTCCTTGCCCCTGGATTACAGATGAGTTAGTGGCAATTGTTCGTGAACGGAACCGGGCGCATCGTCTCTGGCTCCGAGACAAAACCAATCAGAACCTTCAAGAAGCACACCGATCAGCTCGCTCCAAAGCACGGACCCCCCCCCCCCCCCCCCCCCCCCCTATATAGCGACCTCGATACACACACATGCGGCACTGATAAGAAAACAATTTCACGGTTTTGCGTGACACTCAGGCTGAGTTTGCCGGTTTTCCCCGAGACGGATGATGATTTCGCTTAGCGCCTCAGGGGAGAGCTATGGAAACACTCGTGATGCGCAGTAAAAGCCAAAAATCTGGATCATGACTCCTAAACCATGCATAAGGTCAAACTTGAACACTTTCATGGCTGTTGTCGGCAGGAGAAGGTCAATTGTCGGCAGGTCGTGACATGCCTCAAAAATCGGCAGGCTACTGACATGTCGGCAGGTGTGGCAACACAGTATGTCAGACACACACATTTCAGGGGGTTTTCGCCGGTACAGACAATGAATTTACACAGTGTGCTTATAATGGAGACTGAGCACTTTATTTTTTGAATGCCGCCCCAAGGTGTTCTATTATTGGAGACGTGCTATTATTGGAGACTGTGCTTATATTAGAGATAATACGGTACCGTATATTCTCTATTATAAGCACAGGTCTTCATTACTAGCACAGTCTATAATACTAGCACACTGTGAGCACCTTTCGAAACATTATAAGCACAGTCTCTATTATTAGCACGGTCTTGGTGGAAATCAATGCTGCATGCATGATATCTAGCATGTATTTCTTCTTGCTCTGTATGGATGTATTGGTTGAAAAAATATAAGCACGGTCTCCAATATAAGCACGGGGTAGAGGGGTTTTGAAAAAATATAAGCACGGCGCGGTAAGTATGGGGCCATACCTGCATAATGTAGAGGACAATGTTCTTGTAGAAACTGTAGAGAATAACTCGGGTCAGGCGGATGAAACTCCAAGCGCCATGTACTAGCAATAACTTCTTTAGGAATCGGAACTGTAAGAGAAAGTGAAAGAGACAACAGTCATGTACACAATCAATGCAATGCTTATCTCCAAATGCTTAGCTCCAAATGCTTAGCTCCAAATGCTTAGCTCCAAATGCTTAGCTCCAAATGCTTAGCTCCAAATGCTTAGCTCCAAATGCTTAGCTCCAAATGCGTAGCTCCAAATGCTTAGCTCCAAATGCTTAGCTCCAAATGCTTAGCTCCAAATGCTTAGCTCCAAATGCTTAGCTCCAAATGCTTATCACTTATCAACCCCAACCTTGAACAGACCGTAGCCTTGCACAGTTCTAAAGCTATTGCCCAAAAATGCATGCACATGCACACACATGCACACACATGCACACACATGCACAACACATGCACACACAGACACAGACAGATCCACACACATACACACATAGACAGACACACACACAGACACACACACAGACACACACACACACACACACACACGAACACACACACGAACACACACACGAACACACACATGAACACACACACACACGAACACACACACACATACACACATACACACATACACACAGACACACGAACACACGAACACACACACACACACACACACACACACACACACACACACACACACACACACACACACACAAATGGTGGTGACAGTGAATTTTCCTCCAGACTTTCTCTTCACAAATTTACGAATTTTTTCATTGAGCAAATTGGAGTTGTAGTGGTTTTCCCCAAACACAATAGGTACAGAGGAAAAGCTACATGTATTATTTGTACTGACCTGGGCAATGGAGTAGTCTGAGGCTGAGGCTGCTTGAAGACCTTCTTGTCCACTGATACCAACACCAACATCAGCAGCCTACAGCAACCAGTGCATACACAGTACCAACCAAGTGAACAAAACATAATAAACCCAGTACCGCACAGACCACCGTAAAGTACCGTTGATCCCCCCCCCCCCCCCAACGCCGTGTGGCTTCCCAGCTAGTTCTTCGGCAAGAGGCGAAATAGATCAAGCCGGTCAAGTGCAGTACGATGTACAACAAAGCAGAAGATCAGACCTGGCATGGTGGATTGTGCACAAGTTCATCCTGTACTGGCACGTATTGCCTACAGCGGTGCGAGCGTCGGTTCAACACTTGTATCATGTCCACGTCATTAGTATTACCGAATGTCACAACATATACATGTACACTCATCTGGATCATACCCCCCCCCCCCCCCCCCACACACACACACACATCATCGATAGTGCTGCACTCACCTGGATCATACCCACATCATTGGCACCGTCACCAATAGCTAGTGTGATTGCCTTGACATTACTCTTGACCAGCTTCACTACATCAGCTTTCTGAAGTGGGGTCACTCTGCATGAACACACACACACACACACACACGCACACACACACACACACACACACACACACACACACACACACACGCACGCGTGCACACACACACACACACACATACACACACACACACACACACACACACACACACACACACAGGAGCACAGAAGAACAGTGCAATGTAGTGACTGTAAACAGGAGCACCGGACCATAGGAGTACAATGTAAACAGGAGCACCGGACCATATGAGTACAATGTAAACAGGAGCACCGGACCATATGAGTACAATGTAAACAGGAGCACCGGACCATATGAGTACAATGTAAACAGGAGCACACGAGTTCAATGCATACAGGAGCACATGCGTACAGTGTACACATGAGCACATGCGTGCAGTGTACACATGAGCACATGAGCACATGAGCACAGTACCATGACGTACACAGAACAAGAGGACCACCGCACACAGCACACAGCGCACAGCGCACAGCACACAGCACACAGCACCACACAGCACACAGCACCACACAGCACACAGCACCACACAGCACACAGCACACATCACACAGCACACATCAGTACACTAAACAAACCCACTGCATGCAAACATTACTAATTCATGGAGCAGTCAGGTCACACATCTGCCACTAGCCACACATCCACAAGCCACAGAACAGTACCAGGAGTGGTGGTGGCGGTAGCAGCAGTGTGGTGTGGTGGTGACAGCAAAGTACATGCCATTACCCGGTACTGGTGGGAGAATAAAGCAGTGCTCTGGTTACCTTCATTCTTACCTGCAACATATCACAGCTTTACAAGAAAGAGCCAGCTGTAGGAACTCATTCTGTAGGTCTGCTGATATAGCATGTACTAGCATCTAGACAAACATACGCACAACACACACACACACACACACACACACACACACACACACACACACACACACAGCAAGAACCACGACCATGACAACGAAACAAGAAGGCATAGGAAGGCAGAGGAAGAGAGATCAGGGAGTAAGGATGGGTGCCAATACAACGAACATATTTTTTTTAAAAAAACAGACACAAAAGTGTTCACTTGTTGACTGCACATTGTACGTATACTGCGTAGTTGAAGAATTGTCCAGGTAATAGTGTGAGAGAAAGAATTGTCCAGGTAATAGTGTGAGAGAAAGAATTGCACAGCCTTGTAGTCTTACAGTATTCGACACCCTCATGTCATAGGGGAGAATGGTAGACAGGGCATGATAAAATCATCTTATTCATAGCACAGCTCTACGAATGAGGTGTGGCGGGTGATGGGTGGTGGGTGGCTGCGTGACTGCTCACTGCTCTCTGTCTATCAAGCCTCCATTGCATAGTTACATAGTAGATACATAGTGAATAGGTAGTGGATAGGTAGTGGATAGGTAGTGGATAGGTAGTGGATAGGTAGTGGATAGGTAGTGGATAGGTAGTGGCCCCTGCTACGAAACAAACATCTCATTCAGTGCAGCCTACAGCGCAGCCTACCTGTCCATCAATGATAATAGCGGCCTGAAATCACAGGAACAAAAATATGGAGACAGATACATTGCACAAACAGTCAATGCATGAAGTCAAACAGGCAAGTACATGTATGTGTGATATCAAACAGAGACATGTCTTTGAAGTATGTATGATGCAAATATATACGCCAAAGTACATGTATCATTAAACAGCCAGAAGCAGCAGCGGACACAGTAGCGGCAGCAGCAACGGTAGTAGCAGCAGCAGCAACAGCAGCAACGGTAGTAGCAGCAGCAGCAACAGCAGTAGCAGCAGCAAAAATACCACTAGTAACATGGTAAAATTCCAGAAAACTCGGCAGCAAAACAAGAATGAGACAAGATTAACTTACATCCTGAACTTTACTACCAAGAGGAAACGAATCACAGCGGAGCATTGCCCTGTACCGCTCCACACACGCCCGACATTCCTAGCACAGCACAGAACAAACAAGATCATGATGATAATAACAATTACCAAGGGATACAATGTTGGCAGTGTAGATCATACCGACCTGTAACACACACACTGAATAGCAGTGTAGCAGTGGTCAATGAGTATTATACAGTCCTGCTCAATGAAATCCAGTCACACGAGTCAAGTTTGCGCCTTGCACCATTGCTCACAGGTCTAGGGCTGCACAACGCCCGGCCCGTACTTGAGTGACGCGACTGGATTTCATTGAGCAGCACTGTATTACTGGTTACACTGGTTATACTGGTTATACTGGTTAGACATTAACTACTTAGTCAACACAACCACTGCAACCACTGCAACCACTGCAACCACTGCAACCACTGCAATCACTGCAATCACTGCAATCACTGCAACCACTGCAATCACTGCAACCACTGCAACCACTGCAATCACTGCAATCACTGCAACCACTGCAACCACTGCAATCACTGCAACCACTGCAACCACTGCAACCACTGCAATCACTGCAACCACTGCAACCACTGCAACCACTGCAATCACTGCAATCACTGCAACCACTGCAACCACTGCAATCACTGCAATCACTACAACCACTGCAACCACTGCAACCACTGCAATCACTGCAACCACTGCAATCACTGCAACCACTGCAATCACTGCAATCACTGCAATCACTGCAATCACTGCAACCACTGCAATCACTGCAATCACTGCAATCACTGCAACCACTGCAACCACTGCAATCACTGCAATCACTGCAATCACTGCAATCACTGCAACCACTGCAATCACTGCAACCACTGCAATCTATCAATGTCAGGGCTAGTACTTGTACAGAAACACGTGGGCGCCATTTTGGTTCACGTGACATGTGTCACACCATGCTGTGTACAGGGAATCTTGCCGTACTTCGCGTCGACTCTGGCCTGTTCAAATCCACGCAAGTGAGCCACAGTTCTCTCTAGCAGGCTGAGATTTTGCAGGTACCGAGTTCAGATGTGGGCAAAGGGATTCACCGAAGGATTTTTTGATTTTCGCAATTTAGACCTCAAATAACACCCTCAAACTCGGTAAACGTGTCCCACCTCTAGAATCGTTTTGGCAAAATTCGCTTCGGTCAAAGTATGGAGCATCTCCTACTGAAAATTTTGAGCCATCGATTGTCAAAATCGGCTCATGTGGAGCTCACTTGTGTCGTTTTGAAGGACGCCGCGCCACGCGCGATTTGCGCTGGTTCTTTCACAAACGGAAGACACCTTCCAGTCAGAAGTGCAGACTGTGAAAGTGCAGTGCGCACGGCAAGGAGACATGGATTTTCCATTTGTTGCACTGTGTCCTTTGCTTTTATTGTTCACTGATAACATGTTCGCAAAATCTTGAGCTAGAGAGAAGACTGACTTACAATCTGATTCATATAGGCTTCAGCGTGATGCACATATCCAGACCATAGGAAATAATGGGAAAGGAACCGGGAACCACGAGAATAATTTTCTGGAGCGAATCCAATTATTACCATGGTTCCTTGTTCTTGAACACCGCGCTCCACATCGCCAATGTTCTGCGAGGTAAGGATTTCAGGACTACTGTCGGCTTGTTCGACCTCGGGGCGATCTGATCTACGTCCAGCTGGCCATGATACTGAGCCGAACTGGCCACTAGTTCGCTTCTTTCTCGACTCGGGATAATCAAGCCGGTCAGAGTGCGACTTTTTCCTACCCTGGATGCGACCCATGGCGCGGACTGAAAATAACTACTGAACACCTCCTTGTACAAGCACTGACATACAAGGCCGGTGGTGGATACAAACTGACAACAGGAAACCCTAACAGCACCCGCTCTGTCAAAGAAAGTCGAAGGGAAGCAGTTCGAACTAGTCCAAGCACCACCAAAAACTAAAAACTAGCACTTGCTCTTGCAGCTAGGTCAAAGACTGCACTGGCAAGTACACTTTTGCGCAGTCGCGATCTCGCGGCCCCGCATCACGTGCGGGTATCTGATGACGTAGAGTGATTCAAGATGGCCTCCGACGTGTTTCCCGTTTTGTGATCCCAAATACCAGCCCTGAATGTATGAGGATATTCTGTGGACTAACCAACATACCGGTATACATGAAGACATATGCAAGGCCGGGAATAGCCAGTTCCCTATTCACAGCGTTGACGTCTTGGAGGCACGCACGACACGCATCATCACTACGGCGAATGATGATACTGACACAGGCACAACGCATGATACAGCAATAGCAAATCAACATGTGCACACAAGCACACATGTGCACAGTGTGTACACATGCATGCATGCATACACACTCTCACGCATACATGCAAAAAACACTTACGTCCAATGAGCTTCCACTGAATATCAACAAGGTCATCTTCGGTGTCAACAGCCTGCATGCATAGCCTGTTAGACCAGCAGCATGGAGAAAGAAGACACAGAGAGAGAGAGTGAGTGAGTGTGTGTCTATTGTTATCGGCCCTCTTAAGAGTTGTGTTCATCACTGTTGAGGCTTCCGATGGAAAATAAAAGAATACTACTACTACTACTACTACTATTAATGTCATAGCCTGTTAGACCAGCATTGCATGGAGAAAGACAGGGAGAGAGAGAGAGGGAGAGGGAGAGAGAGAGAGAGAGAGAGAGAGTGAGTGAGTGTCTATTAATGCTATAGCCTGTTAGACCAGCAGTATAGAGAAAGACAGGGAGAGAGAAAGTGAGTGTCTATTAATGTCATAGCCTGGAACAGGTGGCAGTAGCAGCAGCAGCAGCAGCAGCACCAGCAATAGCAATAGCAGCACCAGCAGTAGCAGCAATAGCAGCAACAGCAGCAGCAGCAGCAGCAGTCCATACAACTGTAGGTGAGTGTGTGTGAATGGACTATAGCTTACCAATATTGATAGCTGTCTCTTGTTTATCACCAGTCAATACCCATAGCTTGATACCAGCTACTGCAAAGTCAGCAATTGCTTGAGGCACACCCTAGGCAACACAGCAATACACAGCAATACACCAATACATCAATACACATCAATACACAGCAATACAGCAGTACAGCAGTACATAGCTACATCAGCACAGCAATACATCAGCACAGCAATACATAACTACATCAGCACAACTATACAACAATTCATGTACAGCAATAAAGCAATCCAGCACAACAGCAATACATCAATACACTCATATTAATTTTACCTCTATAGATTAAAGGCGGTGGAATTGTTGCAGGTTGGTCCGACCAGCCCCCCCCCCCCCCCCCCCCCCCACACACACATATACATACTTCAAGTACACATACATACCTCCTGCAGCTTATCTTCGATAGCCGTTGCACCAATGAGAAACAAATTCTTCATGAGGCCAGAAAAACACAACACGTGAAAAAGGCAGACCATTAGACAAACATAAAAATTCCACACAAACGCTTCAGATTCCCGACCGAAAGTCTAGGCACAAGCCAAGTATTGAACAAGCAATGATACATGTACTAGTATTAATTAACACTGTCATATACAACAACACATCATCTAGACGGGTATGACTGTGTAGCGTGCATGTGCAGTACTCCTGGCTTGCACACATACTGCAATGTAGTAATACATGTACTGGAGTGTTTGCAACTGCCTGGCAGCCTGTGTAGTTTTGACTTGTTGTTTAGTTTATTTTACTTCACTATAGGCTAAAGGTAAACACCCAGCTTTGGCAAATATGTCACACACGAACTGCGTACACTCTGGACCCGCCACAATCTACAGTATTTGGGGCCCCCTCCATTCATTGAATTGTGTAAGTCCAAACCGCCGCTGGGGGGCTGGGGGCATACCACACAACACAAACACTTGTAAGCACTACAGCCCCAGCCTGCCCGGACGGATATTTTTTGCTGTCTCTTGCACCGTATATTGCCATTGCAGTCAGTAAACTTTTCTCTGCTGTCAATAGATAATCTGGTACGCATTTATACAGCCCCATACCTTCTGCATCGTCTATTGCACCGTAAAGCCCCATATCTGACTCTACTGACTTTAGCAATGCACTATAACCCCCCAGCCTTTAGCCTTTAGCTACGGTCTATCTGCAGTATTTCCATGTTTAACTGCATGCGCCTTTTTCGTGCCCAACTGCAATGTGTCTACTACCCTTCCATACCGCAAAAGCCCGTAAATACTCCCACCCAGTATAACGCCCGCTACCCCTGTACACGCCCGCTACCCCTGTACACGCCCGCTACCCCTGTACACGCCCACTACCCCTGTACACGCCCGCTACCCCTGTACACGCCCGCTACCCCTGTACACGCCCACTACCCCTGTACACGCCCACTACCCCTGTACACGCCCGCTACCCCTGTACACGCCCGCTACCCCTGAACACACCCAGTTGCTGCGTGTCAACACTCTTGTCCCCTTTTCTAGCCCACCTCCATGTAAACTCTCATGGACGAAAGCACAGACCCAGTATACATGTAGAGTGCAGTGCATGCACAGCTCCACATGCATGTACTGTACTCTAGTATAGTGCAGTGTACACAGCGCAGTGCATGCACAGCTCCACGTGCATGCACTGCACCGTAGCATAAGGGGTCGGCGCAAAAGTGTTTTGTCGTCCCTGAAACGAACATCATTCGTTGTGGGGGGGGGGGGGGGGGGGTGCGAGCCAAAATCGCAAGTCGACCGACACTGTACATTATGGCATGTTCATGCATGTGATTTCATGCATGAGATTTCATGCATGAGACTTCATGCATGAGAGTTTCGTCATCCAGCATAGCAAGCTGCGTTTGTTTCAGAGGGAGGGGAGGGGTCCGAGTGCGAAACAAACGATGTTCGTTTCAGGGACAACAGAAAACTTTTGCGACGGCCCCAACCTAGTGTACATGCATACACAGTACACGGTGCTAACCTTATACGTACCGGTAGTACCGTAAAGTACCGTTGATCCGCCCCCACGCCATGTCGCTTCCCAGCTGGGTTTTCGGCAGGGGGCGGGAATTAGATCAAGGCTGTCAAGTGCAGTACGATGTACAACAACGTAGAGGATTAGACTCAATGTGCTGGATTGTGCACATTTTGATCCTGGATTGGCAAGTATTGTGTACAGCAGTGCATGCGTCGGTTCAACATCATATTTCGTTGTATACGCCGAAGTCGCTTCACAAGGAGAAAATCGACAGGGGGCGGGAATTAGAGAGGGGGCGGATCAACGGTACTTTACGGTAGTACGGCCTGGTGTTAAAAATAATAATTAGTTTGATCTCATTTATCCGAAATAGCGCCCGGGCCCAAATTGACGCCCATGTTCTTGACCTTAACTAAAATTTCCGCCCAGGGCCTTATTACAGGCTTTTATGGTATACGCTTGGGCCCTGTTTACATTGCCATGCACAATTCCTAGAACTGGGTCCTACATTCTCATTTCAGTATCGTTCACTTTGCCTGATGAGCTGCCACTTCGGCAGAGAAACAGCTGTATTTACTTCTCGTTGGCTGAATGCAGTGAAATAAACGAGAAATTTTGTTCTAATAAAGCAATAAAAGAACTAACTCTGCCGTCACCATCATGCATCAACCAAGTCAAATGTTTTCCATACTGTAAAACCGGAAAGTCTAACGACCAAAAAGCTTAACGTTTTTGTAATTTTGGCATGATAACGTGCAGAAAGTTTACGATGGCTACCTGGCCACCTATCTGTATGTGCATCTATACACAGACATCTAGGGATAACGTTTTTTTCAAATAACGAAAAATAATTGGTCGTTAAAACGTTAGACTTTGTGACTCGTTAGACTTTCCGGTTTTACAGCTTGGATTTTCATGTCATTATCATCAGCAGATTTTTTGCACATGGTGTATGGATATGAGGGCAGGCTGCCGGTGAAAGTTCCTGCTGGTGCAGCAAGCTGAACATTGTTTTTCTTCTTACCAAGTGGAAGGGTGCTATATTTTTAGTCACTCAGTTTGTCATCAAACTGTTGAAAAAAGGTCTTCAAAGAGAGGTGCAGTCCGCAGAGGTGCCAACGGTAACGGCCGTGGCAAAGGTGACAAAAGAGGACGTTCTGCTGCAATTAAGTCACAGTTCGACTTCCCAAGTTCGGACTTGGTGCCGACATCCAGCTCAAGCTCGGAATATGAAACTGCTTTGGAGCACCAAGTCCAAGCTTCATGTGCGAATGCCACTCCCAGCGCTGAGGGTCTACACCAGGCCGTCTTTGCCGTTGTGCAGTCATGCTGTCATGCTGTCAGGCTGCACGACCCACAAGCAGGATGTTGTGGTGTGCTGATCGGCAAACAAATCTAAGCAGAGAAGTAGCAATTCTTTTGTTTTCAATTCTTTGTTTGTTAAGTCTACATACTCTGAATATTACTTGCAAATACTAAAACTCTCTGCCCAACTTGTGTTGATTGAGGTCGCGGTGCTGTTGTGGAACCTGCTTTAACCCTAACCCTACCATTAGTACCGTGCTGTCGTCTTTCAATACTGATCCTGATAAACCGGGACACCACTGGGACTGTAAGTGTTAGCTGCATGCTTGTATACCCTCTAAAGACTCCGCTGGCTAGGTTGCCTTGTCCTTAGAACAATATGAGTAATAGTAATAACAGACCTGAGAACATCACTATTAACTTCAGTAGTGATGATGAAGGGGGAACTGAACAAATTACCGTACCCGTCACTGAAGCACGTATTATGATTGATGCACGCACTGACTCAGATGCACACACTGCTACAAATGCACGCACTGATGAAGATGCACACCCGGCAACAGTAGGCGATGCACATACTGATACAGGAACGCATACGGTAGCAGCAGATAGTTCAGACATTGAAGCCGCACGTCTGGCACGTTAAGCACAATCTGAATCCACTGTAACACACGAACATGATGAGCTGGAAGATACTCGAGTTGACCTGGCTACATATGGGGTAAATACGATGAGTTATTCACACCCATTGTAGATCAATATGTCAAGCACAGCAGGTCATACACTAAAGCAGTCAATTCGTTGTTTGATGCAGAGGTTAGACTAGCACAAATCAGACCTCCACTCTCACTTGCTCATAAACCAAAAACCACCGGGGACACTAAGCTCGATGAAAGCATAGCGCAGATCACAGCCAAATGTAATCAGCAAATATGTACGGTATGTTGTTCACACCGAGCTGGTCGACTCTCCTCGTATAGATGTCAACATACCAGCTGGACGTATCACGAGTCATGCCGAATTCCTAGCTGACAAGCCAACACAGAATAGTACTGCCGATAAGTCAGCTGAGACACCTGCTCCAGCTCAGCAACATCGACCACAGCAACCGCAGCAGGGTTCGACGCCACAGCCGGTACGACGTTCGGCTAGAAATGCCTCGGCTAATCGCTAGGGACCTGGGGATCACCGTCATGACCGGTCTCCCGGCGGTGATAGCCCCCGATGACGACGGTGACGGCGCGGAGGCAACGCCACCAACCACAGGCGCCGTCGCCGCCAAAGTATCCGAAAACTAAGCTCCGACCTGAAAACATCTCTACGCGCAAACTGCAAGACGCAGAACACCATCACTTGCCTTGATGTAAGTGTGCCCGATGAACTGATTGACCTATTAGGCCTAGGTCTTAAGTTTGTACCCAGACTGAATTCTCTGCCAAGAATAGACAATGCTGATGTATCTAAGTTTCTCCGCAACATAGCAATAACAGCACACTTTCACGGCAGATCTAGCACTCCTGATAGATTCCGCTCTCTATATAGACCGTCCCACTGGCATCCACCAGTGGCATCAATCTCACCAGATGTAAGAGCGTTCATGAGAGATGTAGAGCTATCCATTAAGAACTTCAAGCCCAAGAAGGTAGCCAGCAACCCGGGTCCCATTGAGACCACTTTGCTACAATTTCTAGCTTCTGCAAAACATTTAGTCATCTGTCCAGCAGATAAAGGTAGCACAGCACTGATCATGAGTCGAATCAAGTACGTCTCTCTTTGCCATCAAGTACGTCTCTCTTTGCCATCAAGTACGTCTCTCTTTGCCATCAAGTACGTCTCTCTTTGCCATCAAGTACGTCTCTCTTTGCCATCAAGTACGTCTCTCTTTGCCATCAAGTACGTCTCTCTTTGCCATCAAGTACGTCTCTCTTTGCCATCAAGTACGTCTCTCTTTGCCATCAAGTACGTCTCTCTTTGCCATCAAGTACGTCTCTCTTTGCCATCAAGTACGTCTCTCTTTGCCATCAAGTACGTCTCTCTTTGCCATCAAGTACGTCTCTCTTTGCCATCAAGTACGTCTCTCTTTGCCATCAAGTACGTCTCTCTTTGCCATCAAGTACGTCTCTCTTTGCCATCAAGTACGTCTCTCTTTGCCATCAAGTACGTCTCTCTTTGCCATCAAAATCTGCTTGAAAGTTATATTTATCATCTGGTACACATCTCTAATCTAGACATTTTCTTGGCACTTTCAACCACCCATCCCTCATCGTCTACAGCACAGCCATCCCTTTTCCGCACGCAAGTGAATACAATTCCTTGTGCACAAGTTACACAGCTCTCATCTTTCTCAAACTTTCCCATCGTTCCTCCTACACTTTTTTTTCTGCTGGTGACTTTTCTGAATGATGCTTTGCTCCCTGATATGCTGCATCCCTTTATCTATTTGCTCCGGAACATTCCCCCCCCCCCCCCCCCCCCCGCCTATACTGGTAACAGCTACGCCTTTGATTGTCTCAAGTCATACTTGCTCTCACCAGCTAACCTTCCATGTCAAATAGACAAACAGAGAGGCCAGAAGAATAGGATGAGCTAGCTAATGTCACACCAACTCTCACCGACTCTAAAACCAGTATTTACCTTTTCAATTTCTTCATAACACTTGTCCTTCTCCTCCTCCCTGTTGACAAGGGCTTGTGATGCAGTTGTGAAGCGTGCTTTCCAGGCCTATGAGCACAGAATGTGCATGCACAAACCACTTCATTCAAAGAAGCTCACAGACAAGATCTTTCTGTCCATACAAGGTTTATTCAAAATGACATGAAGAAAGCAAAATCAAACAAGACGGTATACTCACGCAACACTACACCATAATTATCTCCAACACTACACCATAATTATCCCCAACACATGGTACAATTGCCAGAGTCATAACATTACTTGACTCAGCTATTGCCAATTATTTTGAGTGACTAGAAAAAGAAAGAAAAACCCTGATGTAAAACCCTGATGTTTTAGCAGGGGTGTGCAGCAGGGATACTAGAATGCAGCAGGAATATACAGTAGGGATACTACTACTAGTGTGCAGCAAGGGTATGCAGCAGGGATACTAGTGTGCAGCAAGGGTATGCAGCAGGGATACTAGTGTGCAGCAAGGGTATGCAGCAGGGATACTAGTGTGCAGCAAGGGTATGCAGCAGGGATATCATACCGCGTAGACGTCATTGGGAATGTCACACTCTGCAATACAGAGTGTTCTGAGACCTGCACACGAGATGCACAAACACAAACACAGAAATACAGAGTTTCAAAGAGCATGGGAGTAAAGCTAAGAAAGAGAAGTGCATGGACATGATGGAGACATGAAGACGGGGGGGGGGGGGGGGGGGAGATAGAGAGAAAGCAATGACACTCGCTCTACCACGTCCTCAAACCTAAATACCAGGTCATATACCATGTCAAATCAAACGACAGAGATAGAGACAAAGACAAAGACAGAGTTAGAGACAAAAACAGAGACAGAGATAGAGACAAAAACAGAGACAGAGATAGAGACAAAAACAGAGACAGAGAGACAAAAACAGAGACAGAGATAGAGAAAGAAACAGAGACAGAAACAGAGTTAGAGACAGAGATAGAGACAGAAAAAGAGATATAAACAGAGACAGGGACCGAGACATAGACAGAAAGCGAGACATAGACAGAAAGCGAGACATGGACAAGATTACTCGACACTGGTAGCACTTACCTTCGCCAGCAAACTTCTCGAGATGCTCCAAAGTCACCTTGTCGAACTTTTGATTCTGAGACAGACGTTCAAAAATGACAGAATCCTACAGCATATGAACCAGAAAAAACACACACAGAAGCATGTTGAATAACACACACAGAAGCATGTTCTAAAAAAGGTAAAATAACACACAGTTATTCCCGTAGCTATGCAGAGATGTTGGGTAATAGTGTCTGGCACAGCCAGGGCCCACAGTGTTATATTTTGTATGTAGGTATGCGTGTGGAATGTCTAGCCATCACATATGACTGATCACATGACTGATCACATGACTGATTACATGACTGATTACATGACTGATCACATATGTGATCATGTGACTATGACCTAGGGTAAAGAACAAGCATAGCAAGGGTTTGGAGCTGGTTCTCTTGCTGCGGCGACTCAGAGTTTCACCCCACAAACAATCTTTGGACAGCACATGCTCTTCAATGATGTGCTGTCCAAGCACGTACTCTCCGATGTGTTGAAAGAACAAGACGCAGGGAATTACGTGTAGTTTGGTGATGTGTTGTCTGATGATAGCTTATAGGGGAAACTCCGGAGTCCCAGCACTAAAGTTGTAGCTTCCCTTCTCTGGGCATGTAGCTACATACAGTACAGAGGTACACTGCTAGTGTAGCTACAGTAGCTACTGTGTACCTCTGTACCTACAGCATACAGGTACTAGTATATAGCAACGGGTCCTCTACCCTCTACCCTCTAGTGGAAGTGGAGAAAAGAAAATCTGAGTAATTATATCCAATGTCTCCAGGCAACACTAGCTGAACCTGTACAAACGCAATGGACCAAACAAGGAGGAAATCTTCGGCTGGACCTCTACAAAGCAATGGACCAAACAAGGAGGAGATCTCGGCAGAAATAGTGTGATGGACATACCGCTCCTTTGCACATGAGCTTGATCTTGTCTGTGCCCTTCTTGCGCACAATGACAGACATGCGCTTGCGATCACTACACGTGTGAGAACAACACCAACATTGACCAACACATAACAAGTCACATATCCAACAAGACAAGTTGGCAAATTGGCAAATTGGCAATCAATTCTCACAGCCAACACAGCCAACACAGTCATAGCGTGTATAGCAGACTCTGACCTCCACCTGAAGCGCACTAACAAGTTACATACTGTAGTAATATTGTCAATGCCAGTGTGTACAAGTGTGTGTGACAGAGATGGATAGATGGACAGACAGACAGACCGACAGACAGACAGACAGACAGACCGACAGACAGACAGACAGATAAACGGTCACATGCACTCGCACGCACAGATACACAGCACACATCCTACCTGTTGAATTCCAGAACATCAAGAACCTCGTACACCACTTCATGGCCGACCTAGAAATTCACATACACACACACACACACACACACACACACACACACACACACACACACATCCAAAATCATCCACACACACATGCATCCATACATCCACATACAGCCAAAAACATCCACACACATGAGAAGAATTCTGGATTGAAGAGAAACTTGACTTATTATTATTATTTATTATTATTATTTTGCTTGTTCGCGTTGGCATCAACCTGCATAAAGCAGGTATATAGCCTTCGCTTAAGCTGCAATAAAAAAGAAAGCTCATCCTAAGCGAGAGGGCTAGAGGAAAATATAACGATAACGAGATACAGAATACAAAGAAATCCAATGAGTTCAACATACAATTCAAAACAAGAAAGAAAGGAAAGAAAAACAGAGCCGAATCTACCGATTGATCCATCAATCGACAAAAGGGGACTAATCCGTTAATGTTGCAAAGTAGAAGCTGATTGTAGTTCTGAAGAGGGAAACATCCCCGACACAAGTTGTTTCACAGAACACATATTTTTCGGTTTTACAAATCTTTTTAAAGGACTGACCGGTTTCGCTGTCTAAGGCAGCTCATCAGAGTGAAGAGAAATGTAAAAACACAACAGAATTTATGCAGGCGAGAGTGGCACTAAATTATACATGGATACAAGTAGGCCGCCAAAATGCTAGGGGCCCCAAGAGCATTGGGAGTTCCTAATTTGGAAGTGCTGCAATTCTGTTATGACATATGTGTAATAATGTGGGCTTGAATTCCAATATGGATGAATGCTTATATGGAACATGCTTTGTAATTATGAACAAGTAGTATGTTGTACATGAAAAAGCATGCAAGCCCAGTTTGTACATTATTTCTGTCTGGTAATGTGTACAGACTTATTTTTGGCAGTGTCAATATATTGACACTGCTTGTCAGTCTTTATACTAACATGTGTTGGCACGATACCATTGCTACTATCGATCAGCTCCTTAGTGAAATTGACCACCCTCTCAGACAGTTACTAGTAGATCTCATTACCTTTGTTCTCGAGAATAACTATTTTAACTTTGAGGACTCCATTTACCACCAAGTTCATGGAATGGCCATGGGTACACCAATGGCCGTAAACGTAGCAAACGCTTTTCTCTTCATTCATGAAAGAAAAACACTAAGCCTTTTCAAAGAATCTATTTACTTGTTTACTAGATTCATTGATGATGTTTTCCTAGTTATCGACGAAAACCTTTGCTTAGAAAATGTCAAACTTAGTCTATATAGTGATCTAGTTGATATCAACCTTACTTGGACTGTTCCCAGTCATGAGTGCATATTTCTAGACTTAGATCCATCACAGACAATGTTTGATTCTCATGTATCGCACACATCAAAAACCTAGGAATGCGTATTTGTATATACCATTCAAGTCGGACCACCCTAGATCAAATCTACGTTCATTTATTCTGGCTGAACTTCACCGCTACAATAGAACCAATTCTCTGCTGATTGATATTGTGTCTATTCGTAAGCGTTTTTGGTCTAGACTACGACTACGTGGTTATCCTCCTGACTTCCTGGCCGCCGTCTTTAGTAACGTCGACGCCAAGCCATCTTTGCCACCAGCAAAGAAGAAGAAGGAGAAGAACATTGGTAATAAGGTTACATTTGTTACATCTTACCACCCACACTTTGTTCGCAATAGTCTTAGAACTATTCTAGAAGAATCATTCCAGAACACTGATGCTATGGTCTTCTTTCGCAAAACAAAACAATTGTTCTAACGATACACTCTTAGGGGCCGTCCGGGGTTACCGATTGTTTTTACAAAACGAAAAGTTTTAGTATTTTTCAGCCCCCACCCACCCACCCACCTTTTCTGCAGGTAAAACGAATTCCAATAAAATATTGATGTCAATTTTCGACATCCAGAAGTAACTGGGCATTCTCCATCAGCATTCAATAATTATTTTCAAAACGAAACTCCATCAAACCCACCCACCCACAAACGAAAACATTTCGTTTTGAAAATATTATTGGTAACCTTGGACGGCCCCTTAGGTACCACCCTTTTTTGTACATACTATTCTATTTTCAGGCATGTGACACTTCACTTGCCTTTTTGGCAGTGTCAATATATTGACACTGCCAAAAATAAGTCTGTACACATTACCAGACAGAAATAATGTACAAACTGGGCTTGCATGCTTTTTCATGTACAACATACTACTTGTTCATAATTACAAAGCATGTTCCATATAAGCATTCATCCATATTGGAATTCAAGCCCACATTATTACACATATGTCATAACAGAATTGCAGCACTTCCAAATTAGGAACTCCCAATGCTCTTGGGGCCCCTAGCATTTTGGCGGCCTACTTGTATCCATGTATAATTTAGTGCCACTCTCGCCTGCATAAATTCTGTTGTGTTTTTACATTTCTCTTCACTCTGATGAGCTGCCTTAGACAGCGAAACCGGTCAGTCCTTTAAAAAGATTTGTAAAACCGAAAAATATGTGTTCTGTGAAACAACTTGTGTCGGGGATGTTTCCCTCTTCAGCTCCAGGCCAGGGCCAGCATATTGCCGATTCTGGATAGGTCTCCGCAGCATTTGATGTGGTAATTATCATAATGGTTGATAAAACTGTTAGAGTATCTAGTATCTAGAGTATCTAGTGTGTTAGAGTATCTAGTGTAATTGTATCCGTTATTATTGTTAAGAGTATCTAGTGTAATTGTATAACTTCAGCCACTACACACAGCACACATTAGAAACTTGACTACGTTCCGAAAATTCCCCAGGACTCGGAGCTTACAACAGCAAAGAAAATGGTGAATGCATGTGATTGAAACGTACTATAGTAATAGAATACAGGTACGTACTGCAAATATGACAACACTGTCCGGCGTTCTGACATTGAAGGAGAAGCCGAACTGCTTGGCAGCGCTGACAAGTGCACCTTCATCTGTTCGTTCACCGGCAACACAACAACGCAGCAGGATAAAAATAACCACCTCAAACAAGACACCAATACTGTAGGTATGCATCCAAAGCAGAAAACAACCATAGTGATACAGTAGTACAGTAGTACAGCAGTACAGTAGTACAGTAGTCGCAGCAGAAAACAACCATAGTGATACAGTAGTACAGTAGTACAGTAGTACAGTAGTACAGTAGTACAGTAGTACAGTAGTCGCAGCAGAAAACAACCATAGTCTGTCCCTCCAGAAACTTGCGGAGACATTTCGGAAATATCGCGGAAAAAGTTGCGAGGTAAAATGCCACAAATTGCGGGGAATATTGCGGATTTTGTCAAATATTGCGGGATTATTGTGGTAAAATTGCGGAAATTGCGGCCGATTTTGGTACTTGTACTGTAGTGGTGTACGATGTACGAGTTGTACAGCATAAATCATGCATGACAAAACAGAACGTGTGCTGCGCTGACTGTGTTCAACTGCCTGACAGGAGCTTGCAAGACAGCTTTCCTCCATCCTCGGACAACACTCGACGCGAGCCTTATTTTGTGACTTGTCAGCCGCTGATTTGCCCAGAAATTTCTCCATTCTGGTGTCGATCTCACAAGTAAACTATTGACGAGCTTGAAGAACTAAACAACATCGAAGAAAGACCCGAATATCGCGGTTGCTTTTCGAAATATCGCGGTGCTTTTCAAGTATCAAGGACAGTTTTCTACAATAACGCGGATGATTTTTCAAATATCGCGGATATCACGGACTTTTGTTCAAATCGCGGAAAACAACGCGGCCGCGGAATCGCAAGTTCCTGGAGGGACAGCATAGTGAATCTAGTGATACCAAGAGTACATAACCCCCCAGAGTGTGCAACGCCGATCCAGCTCTGTGTAGGGTCTTGGTCGAGCGGAATCGGATCTTCTGATGTCATGCGTACACTTCACACCAGCGCAAGGCCGGTCTCGAGGCAGGGCACCATTGTTTTTGATCCAAGAGTACCCGCGACTCCCCGGGTTCCCCTCAGATGTGTACGGTACTATGACGCAAAGATCCGATTCCGCTCGACCAAGACCCTATGCAGAGCTGGATCAGGCGTTGCACACTCTGGGGGGTTATGTACTCTTGGTGATACAGTAGTACAGTAGTCGCAGCAGAAAACAACCATAGTGATGCAGTAGTACAGTAGTACAGTAGTCGGCTTGGGAACTTGCGCTGGGACTGCACCATTTAAACCACAGAGCAAAGTTAAAGAATTGCCAAACAATGTTAAGCCTGGCCTGGATCACACATCACGCAGCTTCAAAAGACAGACAGAAAGTAGAGGAGAGAGTACATGAGTACTGAGTAACTAGTTCAAGTAGTAGTACATGTACATACCAGGTGATGATGCTTGGAAAATGATACGTTCCGGATTCTTCGGGTCTCTCTCGGGAATGACAGTATGGCAAACTGACAGGATTGTGAGGAATTCTCGAATGAACGGTGCTCCGGGCTGTCATCATTCACCAGGTTCATAGTTCATAGAGAATACAGTAACAGACAGACAGACAGACAGACAGACAGACACACACACACACACATACACACACGAACATGGACACACACACACAGATATGCACACACAGTAAACATACACAATACAACACATGGTAAACACATTGGGACACAAACAAACACTGAGAGAATGCCTGAGGTAGACAGTCTAGCAAAACAACAGAAGTAGTTACCGGTATGACTGCTGGAGGTTATAACTACTAAGAAGTAGGTATGACTGCTGGAGGTTATAACTACTATTAGGCACTTCAGTCACGTGACATGACCTGTCAAAAAGTGCTAACGCTGAATCGCGTACATGCGCGGCACCAAGGAAAGGCGCATGCATAGATCGATCTGTAGCTGCACGGAAGCTGCGCAGGGCCTTCTCGTGTGGCGCAGCATGTAGCTGAGGCCCTCAGCTTTCGTTTGAGCCCACATACGTCATGATGCGGCAATTTTTTGAACTCACGTACAGTTCGAGTAAAATCGGCAAGGATTTTTCGGGCATTTCACTTGGTTGCACGCATTTGCCATGTAGCTCATCGTCTTCAGCGTCGTATTTCCTTTCGGAATCAGTTGTCCTCGTTCGTCCAACACTTTGCGCATTGCTGCGCAAGGAGAAATAATGCGAGGTGTTATTGGAAGCGAACCGCGACAGGCGTCCTCCCGGCAATAGTCCTTGTTCGTCGGAGCCCATGCGCATGGCTGCGCAAGAAGAAATATGCCAGGTGTTATTGGAGTCGCATCGGAGCAGTCGTCCTCTCCTGCAGGCGATGAGTAGGACAGTATATACTTCGGCGACTGGACCAAGAGAGCTGACATCAAAACGGCCTGCTCGGAACAAATCGTCAGCTGATCAGCAGGTGGCTTCCAGCGACCAAGAAAGCATTGACGGTGATATTATACCAAGAATCCAGCACACACTCTATGCACAAAATCTCACATGCTGGAGTTGCTGAAGTTTCAGTAGTCCCAAAAATTTACAGACGATGTTCTATTGTAATAGTTTGTCATTTCTTTCCGTCAAATACCCGGTAAATTCTAGTTTGCTCAGTCTTCGGCTCATTGTTCTTCCGTAGTCGTCACCACGTCAGTACTGTACATTGTAGCAACAATGTGTTCTGGCACTGAATTATTGTAGTTACTTTATCTTACCTCAAAGTCTCATCTTATGCTTTTCCGAAGGCTTCTCTGCACTGTTTTCATGCTGTTGCGATGGAGTTGCTATGCTGTTGCTATGGAGTTGCCATGGTGACCACATCCGATATCTTCGTCGGAGCTGCCGGACGGATGAAAAATCCGAAGTATTTCCAAACCATGCTGTTTCTGCATTCATCTGATTATTTTGACCTGCTTCCAGCGAGCCTGGGTATTTTGCCACTATAGACACTGAAGCAAGTTCTGCCAATTTCTGATATGCTGCTGGTGCCGTCGATATACTGAAAATGCCGTTATTCAATTCTCCGACTTTGGGTGGCTATATCTCTGTGCCAAGTTATTCTTTTTGCTTCAAATTTTCTGTGAGTCTTCTTAAACCTATCTGAATCGGATACAAAAAGAAATACGCGTATTTCTCGTTTTGAAAAAATCGCCTGAAGTGCCTACTACTATCATACACGGTGAATGAGCAGCAGGATAAGAATTCCCAAAAAACACATACCTAAAATCAACTATAGACTAGTATGGTAAATAAATAATCTCAGGATCTGAGAGCACCCCCCCCCCCCCCCACCCACACACACGCACCCCCCCCCCCCCCCCACCCACGCACGCCCCCCCCCACACACACACCCAACCACCCACGCATGCACGGCACGCACGCAACCCCCTCCCCCCCCCCCCCCCACCCCCCCCCCCCCCACACACACACACCTCCGCACCCCCGCATGCACCCCCCCCCTCCCACCCACCCACGCATGCACGCACCCCCCCCCCCCCCCCCCCTACACACGCACGCACCCACGCACGCACGCCCCCCCCCCCCCCCCCCACACACACACGTACACACGCACCCACACATGCACGCACCCCCCCCCCCCCACACACACACACACCCATGCACCCACGCATGCACGCACCCCCCCCCCCCCCCCCCCCCCCCCACACACACACAGACCCAGACCCAGACCCAGACCCAGACCCAGACCCAGACCCAGACACATGTATGTGTACCAACTCACGTGATTAGACCTGAGGTTTTCCAGCAGAGTTGGATCACCGAACCGTCACCAGCATCGGCAGTGGGGGCAGCAGCAACGCCACATTCAGGAGACGAGCCATAGATCTCTCCAGCTATGCTGCAGCGCTTGAACTCCATGATATTACAGGTCAATGTGCCAGTCTTGTCAGAAAAGATGTACTCAACTTGTCCCAGCTC